ATAAATCGCTCGCACACACACATACTAAGACTGCGACGTCGACAGCGACGCCCACTGCGACTGCGGCAGCGACTGATGTTTACACAACGTGCGGTATATTTGCGAGATACTCTTCGTACAACAAAAAAATACAGCCGCAAATTCTGTTTGAATTTTTTTTCTCTTTTTTCGACTCTAATTAAAAACAAGCAGACAGTATGTGTGTATGTGTGTGTAGAAAAAACAAGAAAATCAAGCACAACGGGCATCTACAGCTGGCTCTGGGGTACTATTGTATCTGTTAGATGCGAAATTGCAAACACCACTGAAGGCAACGTTGCCGAACTTCAACGTAACGCTTTTGTCTTTTTTGTGTGTTTCTGCAGCTTTGTAGCCGCGCAGCTATAGTTTGTGTGCATGCTGTGTATCTGTATCTTTGCAGCGCAGAGTTCTCTTGCCGAACGACAAAAATTGCTGCAACAATGTCGCTTAATTTTCATGCGACCAGCCATATTATTATGTATGCACCTGATCGGGAGTTTACGATAGCCAGAAAGCCGAAAAACCGGTTGACAACGTCACAAAGTCCCATCATCATCATCTCCATCATCAAGCATAATCCGAACCCAAGACCACGTCCCAACTGGTTATCAGTAAACAGAAACGCAAACAGGTAACAGAACACCGAGGCGATCTGAACTCAGCAGTCATATCATCATCCCATCCTTCTCCGTTTTCTTTATATACTCGATTATCGTCTGGTTATATTTACAGATGCGGTCAGATGTTCAGCAATGCGATGTAGTTTCTAACTATTTTCGTATTTTTTTTAAGTTTGAATAACTTATATGTTTGTAAAGACTTTTTGTAATAATTTTAGCCATGCAAAGGATATTACGATTTCACTCAAAAGTTTGCCATTTTAGACCCTACAATGTATATCATTACCATACATGTTCAGATCAAAAAATTATTTCGAAATCGTTTTCAGAAAATGGACCTTAAAGTTGAAAATATTCCTTTTTATTCTGTAATTTTAACGACAGGGGGACAAGTTTTCTTTCTAAAAATCTTTTTACGGGATTATTAAGATTATTAAGAAGACTGGATAATAAATCCATAATAGTATTTTTATGAACAATTACACATTTTAACTTTGGATTTTTAAATAGTTTAGAAATAAATATTCTAAGGACAAGTAGTTGTACTTGTTAACAAAGTATAATAATTTATAATAACTCAGATGTTCAGGAACATCTTCGTGGCAAGATTCGTACTCAGCACATTAATATCTATCAGAAAAGTAAACTCTTGCTAAGACTATTTTTGGTGTAACTCAAAGTAGAGTGGTACTTTATTTTTTTACCCGTTCTGTATTATGGCCATATTTTCTGAGCCCGTTCGTCAGCTCTTTGAACATAATAATCGATTTTTACTGCGCCTTCTCTGCTGGCTCTGAGCCTCTTCGTTCGGCCTCACAAACACAGGGCCAAATAACTAACACAATCGCCCCTTGATGATTATCGTTTTTGTCTGTCCGGTTCTTTAGCACCTTTTGTCAACGTGTGTGAAGTGCGGCAACGTTGCGCTCTGGAGTGGCGGACATATGAATTCGGAGATTACTCTCCGTCTCCTGTTCCCGAGCTCAGCTCATGTGTGAAATTATTTGGGAATTTTCTAATTTCCCATACAAGCAACGTTACCGCACCGCCGACAGACGTTGTCGCGCCGCTCACCCCCTTTTTCCCACCGAGTTCGTCACGTTCCCTTGTGATATCTCAATCTTTATATTGCATGGCACCTACTCGTTTTTTTGCGCGAATTTTGTTATTGTTTTTCTGCATTACGACACTGCACAAAACAATGAAATGTGCATTGCCAGGCATACAGAGTTCAAAACAATAGCAAGGGAACAGCGGAATATGTTTGGCTATATGAAAATAATTGCACAACTGGCATGAACGCCTATAATACGCCGCCCCGTGCCAACCTTATTCCTATTGCTCGACGTTCCTGAACGTATTGGAAACAAAAAAGAATAGAAGCCCTTGCAGCTTAAAAAAAAAAACTTTTGACTTAAACTATAATACCCTCTATAAGGGTATACAAATAAAATTTGTTAAAGATTTGATCAGAAAGTTTAAGTCCGATGAAGTATATGGTTACAAATACACGAAGTAATAACATTTTCAAATTAAAGATCAAATTCCTTATATCAAGCTATACACACTGAAGCCAAAGGCTTCAGCAAAATAGAGCAGAAAAAATACGCAACTGGCAGATAAAATAATAACAATAGCGCCACAAAAGTGTGAGTTGGTTATAGTTATAGAGTTCTGTTTCTGTTTCTGTTCCTGTCATTGAAAAGCAGTCATTGGATGGATGGAATGAGTAACCAGAGACCCCCTCATCAGACCCCCCGGAGATAGAACAGACAAAAAAATAAAAAAACAAACACGCCACAGTCCATGACTAAACATTTGAATAATTATCAAGTACGAAAGTACAATGGTATGGTAATTATTGGGAATAAAAAATAATTGAGTTGCTGTCTGCGTAGTTTAAAATTTTCACGTACATAGTTTTGAAATATATAAAATGTTGTCAGGTGATAAATTTAAGCTGCAGTGTCATATTGAAAATATATATATTAATAAAAATAGTTCCTTTGGAAGAACACAATAAGTCTTTAACGTAATGAAACTTTTAAAATACGTACAAAGCTAAACAACAAGTTTTAGTTTTTTATTTTTTTTAATTGTGTTTACTTTCGAGTTTGCTAAAAACATTTTAATGCATATAACATTTAAAATGGAAAATACATGGCAATTTAATTTTCGTAGGACGCTGTTCTGATTTCTTCACCTCTCTCACTCTTTTTGCGTTACGAGAGGGCGAACTTCAATGACAAAAAAAAAAAACAAAAGACGTGTGTCAAAAAACTATTGTAAAAACAACAACAAGAGCGGCAAAAATAAATGTAGCATGACATTGAAAAGAATCAAAAGCACTCAAAAAATTACATACACAGACCCACATTCTTGTGTATATATAATCTGATATATGTAGATCATTATTATTGTCGTTTTTGCTGCCTTGTCCTCTCCTGTTAAAAAGGGAAACACGACATTGAATTTAATAAAGTGATCTAAGTTCACTCGCCGGTGCTAGATGGGGCAGAAAGTCAAACGGGCGAACCTAATTTGGAACAAAATTATATGATTACGTTTTCTGATTTTAATAAAAATAAAAAGCGTAATTCTATATTAATTAACCAGGACGGACAGACGGACAGGGCTAGATGTCTCCTTCACTGCGTTGCAAACTTCAGCCTGAAATTATAATTTTCCGGGATTTTCTTGTAAAGTGCTGGTGCTCCCTTCTTAGCTCAACCATGAGTTCAATGTCAATGTCAATAAAAAGCGTTTTGAACTGCGCCAATGGAACGATTAGTGTTGGTAATTACCGCAAAACTATCAAATGGAGCTTTACACACTACTGCTACGGGTTTAATGCACCTACAGATGCATTAAAAAGCAGAAAACAACATGTGTAAGTCTTGTCTCTGTTGAAAAACATTTTAGCTGTGCCTAATGAAGCAATTAAAACATTTGACTTTTGCACTGCACGAAAATATTAAAAGGAAGGGGTCCGAGTAACTTGTTTTGACTCACGAATGAAATACAAAAAAAAAGACGCAGAACAAAACAAATTGCTCAGATTAGTTCTCCTATTTGGGTCCGAAAAAGACAAAACATACAAAGGTACAGAAATGATAGGAAAAGTATTACGCAACAAAGGTAGACGATTAAAAGAGGTATGAGTGAGAGGTTGGGCGGTATAATATTAGTAAAGTCTTATCTCGTCCATTTTAAAGTACATGCAAATTCCTTATAAAATGGTTATAAAGAATACAAAGTTGAAGACTTTTAGAAGTAACTACAAAATACTACGAACAGTTTTTTTTTGCAAATTTGACTAAATCGGGGTGTAGAGGCCCTAGAACTTTTAGGCTAGAAGTGTCAAGCTGTGGAGAGTATCATCTAAGCAGCCACATTGCCACAAATCGTATTCCATTCTTTTTTCTTAATTCTTTGTTCTCCATTTTTTTCCTGTTGTTTGTACAGGTAGCCACATACTCACGCTCAAGCTGAGAGAAACCCACTCAGGTAAGATACTTAGATAAAAAAAGCAAAGACACGACAAGTCAAGGTAAAAAAGTTACGCATTCTTTTTCGGGCATGGGCAACCATTAGCTTTTGTATCTATTTTACGGTGAGGAAATTTGAAAAAAAAAGAGACTAGCAGCTTTGACTGGCAGTCAGCTCAGAAATGCATTTCAAAGATTCTTTCGTATCCCATCTTAATGATTAGAAGCAGCAACTACGACCTCGTGACTGAGGCAACTACTCAAGGGGTTATGGTATATACAGTTAGAATCAAAATAAAAACCAAATTTTTTTATTTTATTTTTTAATGTACATGTATTTAACATTGCAAACAGAAAATTTGATATCGTTCCGGTAAATACTTTCGAAGTTACACGCAAATTTTAAAAGGCATTTCAGAGTGCTTGAAAGTAGAAGTATAAATTTAACCGCGTTTTTCTCAAAATGTTGTTTTCAAAGTCGGGGACGAACATTACTCGAAAGTGGTCACCGCAAAATGTCTTTTTGGGAGGAGCTCCCGGTGATCAGCTGTAGCTTCTTTCCAAATAAATATTTTTACTAATACTAATTCTTAAAATACAGTTAAAATATAAATTTGTAAACAAATTCAAAAGCCAATAAATTTTTAAGTTTTTTCGGAAAATATTCTGGAAAATTCGCTTTTTTCGGCCATTTTATATGGTAAAACTTTTAAAAATAATAATAGCCAAAAGTTTTCACAGAATTTCAAGTTCATTTGTTTTAGTTCTTCATGGAGTTTTCGAAAACAATTTGGGAAAATATTTAAAATGCATAAATAAAAACAAATTCTCTAATCATTTTTACCATTATTCTGAGACCTACAAAACTTACCTTATCAATTTCGGATTGTTTTTGTTGTTAATGTTGTTATTATTGTTGTTATGATTAATGGTGCTGCTGCTATCCACAACCAATTGTTGTTGGAGCTGCTGTGTTTGTTGTTGTTGTTGGCGGTGCGGCGTCGTAGTTTCGGCTAATTTTCCAAAACAAATGTTGCGGCTACTGTCGCGTACCATGTTTCGACAACGGAACACTCACAGCAGAATCTTCTTCTATTTAGAAGGAGCATTGCGTCGTATAGAGGGGCATCATTTTAAATGGGAGCCCTCTTCCCATTGAACATTATGCACTTTTTTATATATTCCAGTATGGGGATTGTTACGATTTTCAGCTTGTTTAATTAGGGGGCTTTTATGGATTTCTTACTTTCAATTACTTTTGGTTAGATTTTCGCTTTACTTGCACATTTTTAGCACTGCGTTAGAAAAGAAAGGATGAAATATATGGGGTTGTGTAGATTAGATTTTTCGCTTTTCTAACTGGCACTTAAATTTTTTCGTTGAACACTTGCACTTGCACATTCACATTTTCCATTGTGATTTTCACATGGTTTTTCTCTTTATTTTTTTTTTGGTGATTTACTTGATTTATTTAGCTTCTTGTTATTTTTTCACTTATGCCAATTTGCCTTCATTTAGCAACTAAAAATACGCTTTTAATTTAATTCAACTAGATCAATTTAATTTTATTGAAATTTCAATGGGCCTCAAGACGTGTTTTCTTCTTTTTGCTTCAATTTAAGCGAGAATACAGCATGTACTAGATATATAAAGATAAACTTCTTGTATAGGGCCATTTCCTCTGCAACAATACGAGTGCGAGAAGGTGGAAAATGCGAGCAGCGACGTCGGCAGCGCGTTATTATAATCCCCACCCCCCGAAAAAGGGGGTTTGAGGTACAGCATGTTAAAATTCCATGCACTAAAGAAGCATGGAAACTACAAGAACAACACTCACTCGACGTTGAAGTCTGGCAACGTCGCTGAGTTAGCTCCCTCTCGCTCGTTCTGCCGCGCCGCGGACTAGCGTGAAGAGCGGCAACGTCGCTTTGTTTGCCTATAATTGACGTTTGCCGTCTGACGTGGTTGTTAGAAAGAGACAGCCAGCTGCTAGCTGTTGTTGCTACTTCAGCGCACAAAATACATGGGGTGTTTGAGTGTGTGTGTTATATACTCGTGTATACATAAAGAATTTATAGCTGGTACTTTTTTTGTCGTAGATGGAAAACGAGTATCTCTCGGCTGTGTATTTATAAATGGCTATGTGGTCATGTGGTGTGCTTCTTTCGCTTTGTTGTTGCACGTTCTTCCATAAATCGTGTAGTTTTGTAGCCTCCAAATCTCCTACGTATTTTCTTTTGGGGCACAGCAGGAAATCACCCATACAGCCATGTATTTTTTCTCTCTGTGTGTGTTTGAGGGAATCTGTAGGAAATAAGTGACCTATGTGCGTCTCGCTCAGACGCATAAGCTGGGCCCCATTGGTGTCGTGAAAGTTTCAGCGCTGCCGCAGCTCTGCTCGCACAAAACTTGGGGCCGCAATGATACGCGATTTAGTCGCTTTGTAGAACTGGTGGGGTGCGGCTCGCAAAAAATTAGGAAAAGCTGGGAAATGGATCAGTCACAGGCACAGACAAAGAAATCTAGCTTATTCGGCTGCCAAATAGGATAAGAGCACTGAAAACGCAAAGCGAAATTTCTTCCTGTGTGCTTGGCGTTTGTTTTTTTTATTTTGTTCGCCATTTTGTAGTCGGCATTTTTTAGTTTTCTTTCTCTCTTGAGGGGGAAAAACCCCATTAAAGCAGGCGTTTTAACTAGAATTCATTAACATTACCAGCAGCAGAAAAAAAAGAAACCAGTTTTCGTATGGATGGATTTAGTATCTGCTTTTTGTTTGTGGCTACGTGACCACACACCAACACAGGGGCAGGTCGACCGCATTTGCCAGAAAGAGAGAGCGCCAGCTTTGTAGTTTTTCTCTCCCCAATCTCACAAATACACACGTGTTTACGGAGTGCGCACGCACACAAAACGGGTTAAGTAAGAAAAAAAGTGTTTTACTGCATAGCTCTGACCCGCTCGCACAGCAGCTGAATCGATTTTTCAAGCGACACGACAATTTCACTACACCCTCTACGCTCAGCGGTTGTCTCGCTCTCACTCTAGCACGAGCAGCAGCCCCCTCTCTTTTGCTCTGCCTGGCCACGGTTTATTTTGCGTTGTTCGTTTTTGTAGTTTGGAGCCCGCACACACACAAGAACGGTTTATATATAGTCGCCATGTTACTTTTTCCTACGTTGGGGGAGCTGTCAGCCTGGATTTTCCGCTACAAATTTCAAACAACATCTCTCTCTCTCTGCGCCTCTGCTGTGGCCGCTGCCTCCGTCGGCGTCGTTATTTTCAGCCCGTTGCACGTCATCCGTTTCGGTGTGCGTACGTATGTGTATGCTTTGAATTTCTGATGAAATTCTTTGCTTTCGAGTTAATTGCTGCCCCGTCGGTAGCGACGCCTCTGCCGCGGTCACTGCCTCAGCCGGCGTCGCTGCCACCAAGCTCACATTTTTTTGTGCCATTTTTCTTTGTACTGGTACTGCCATTTGTTATAGATCGGCCGAAGAGCAATTTGTGGGAATCTTCCACTATTTTTAAGCACACTTTTATCCTGACATTTGTTTAAGTTCTACTAAATTGTCTTTAATAAAGAATTCTTATTAAAAAAAAATTCCTGAGTTCCTAATACTTTATAATTTAATAAATTCATTTGTTTTTACCCGTTTATGCTTCAATAGCGTAATAATTTTTTAAAATTGAGTTATAAACGAAATTTAATATATGTTGTGCAAAAACACACAGTTTTTAAAGATGCCTTGTAAGCACTTTATCAAAAGTGTTTTTTCTTGATTAAATTTATGGTTTTTTAGTTGAAAAATTTTGGCATAATGTTAAGATTGTGTTAATTTTATGATTAGGGGTTTCGTAAACCTTTTTTCCACTTAGTTATGCACTTTCTCACTGTCCGGTATTTTCCTTAAATTTTGGTGAATAATTTCACTATTTTCATAGATTTATCCTTTCTTACCATTTGCCTTGAGAGCTGTAAAAAAAAGGAAAAAAATACATATAAATATTTACTAATTGATGAATACTGATCTTTCCCAGAAATCTTATTTTATATACGAATTCATGGAGTTGTTACTTTTATGGAAATTGAATTTAGAAAAGACCGACTGAAAAGTTTCTCTGGTATACTGTATCGACTTTGGCAATAAGTTACAACAAAGAAGCCTTTGTATTTATGGTTAAACTGAAAAAATTAGTTTTACACCTAATGCTTTTTTTCTAAATTCTAAAATAATATTAATAGTATTTGTAATTTCATGATAAAAATTATAATACATAATTCCTTATAAGAAATGTAGCTAATAAACAAATGTTTATATATTAATGTCGTCTGATTTTATCAATAAGAAAAAAAATTCAAATTTATCATGTTTGCCACTGGGAAATTCTTTCAAACTTACACCATTGGAGCGGATTTCCTTAGCTGATCATCGGATCCTTTTTCGATGGCTGTTTTATTTTTGTTGTAAACCCGAGTTGAACTGTATTCGAAACTTGCTCATTTTACTGGCTTTATTTCGTGGAAATAGCTTTTCCTTTCGCCTCTACTTCGAAAACCTTCAAAAAGGTACTGGCGCGCCCGTTGAGTTCTGCTTATTCTGCGTACCGATCCGAAAAAACAGATCCGAGTTCAAATTTACACGATTTTAAATAATTTCTTTTAGTGGGTGTATTTTCTGTTATTTTTTGTGTATTTATGCACTTAAGATGTTGGGGAGAATTTTAGCTGCAAACTCCCTGCGAATTTCATTCAGCAGAAAGAGCATCACAAAATTTATAGGGAACAATAAAAAAATTTAATTTTTAATATTTATTGGCCTTTTATTTTGTTGCTCGATTTCCATTTGCTTTTTGCCTGTGTTTTTGTTTGTATTTTATTGTATTTGGATTTGCGTTAACTCTTCTTTCTCTAGCTGTTGTTGTTATTGCTGCATCTACCGTGGTATTGGTGTAATTAATGCACTTTCGCACACAGATACAATCGCGCACGCACACACACAGAATTACGCCGATGATGGCACGCACACTCACACACACAATGAGATGGGGAAAAGGGGCGGGGGCACTTGCTTTTTTTTTCAGATACTAACAATAATTTTTTTCGTTGTGTGTGTTTTGGCGGCGTTTGTTTAATCGCTCTGCCGCCGTTGTTGTTGTGTTGGTTTTTTTTCTTCTCGCCTGCAAACGACGCGCGCGATCCGTTCACCTTAAAAATGTTCAAAACAATGTGACCGTTAGTTTGGCTTTCAGTATGACCGCTCATAATGTGGCCGCTAGCGTAGCGATAAAAAAAGCTAATAAGTATTTTTATAACGAAAAATACTGAAAATAATATTTATCAAACACCCGATTCATGGTTGAGAACATAGCTGACCTTTAGCAGCGGCCAAAACCTATTAGCAGAGTCTTGCCAAGTTCATGCATTTTCCAACAACCCATTTATATTTTTTTTAAAACTCAACTTTTTGTGAAATTTGCAGAGACTAAAAAACAACGGGAAAAATGTTTCCAAAAAAATTTACAAGATTCGATGGTTTTATGACGCGAAGAAATTCGAAATAATTATTATTTTAAAACAAGCGAAATAGCCAAATCAGGCTGGAAAGTAGACAAACAGGCAGCTCTGACTGCTATTGTTATCGTTATCGCGGCCAGCAGCTTGTTTTGTTTTGCTTACACGACAGACAGATAATATAATTCATTTATTTATTTATTTACTATGCTAGTGCGACAAGGTTAAGCTTAAAATACAAGTAAATTACAAGTAGCAAGAAATATAACTATACTTATACTCTTAAAATGAGTAGTTTAAAATCGGACTTGGACGAGTACTTGCTGCTGCAGAGTGACCAGAAAAAAAGTTTTAATGTCAAGCTGCCACAGCTTAAAGTTCCATTTTTTACTAGAAAGTCTGAGCCGGAAGCAAATAGTTGGATTAAGGACACTCAGGATTCATGTTTCCCGAAATTGGTATGTATTTTACTTTGCAGAACAAATTCGTTCAGATGTTTGTTGTTGTTGAACGTTGATGTTCTATAAAGAGTACAAACAAGTGGCCCAACGAAACCCCGAGGAAAACACAAATAAAATAGTATAAACGACTCAAAACGATCAATGCGTTCTTGATATTGGGGACTCCATTATCCATCTATTAATCAGTAATCAGTCTAATTATCTCCGATGTAGGAGTTAACTGACTGATGAAGATTACTTTACTTTAGATTTTCCCTTTTTCTTTTTTTCAGTCCCGCCTGCAGCGAATTGTGGGTTTCGTGGCCTGTTTGGGCATGGGAATGCTGTGCATGGCTCTTTCCACATTATACATCCCCGTCCTAATCTTGAAGGCCAGAAAGTTTGCACTGCTCTACACCCTCGGAAGCCTTTTCTTCATCTTGAGCTTCTGTTTTCTCTCCGGATTTGGGTCCTTTCTGAAGCAGATGTTCTCCAAACCTAGACTGCTCACTTCGATAACGTATAGCTCCTGCTTGCTTTTAACTTTATACTGCGCCTTGGTAGCGAGAAGCACAGCTTTTACTGCCCTCTTTGCAGTGACACAAATAATTGCATTGCTGTTTATGATTCTCGGGATGGTGCCCGGAGGAGCTACAGGACTCAAGTTCTTCGGGCAACTCTTCAAGACCAGCGTTTCTGCGACCACTAGTGCGCTGCCTGTGTAAAAACTTAAAACGGAATTATCCAAAACCGCAGCAACGAAAAAAGTAACATATTAACTCATAGATAAATCCAAAATAAACCATATTTGTGATACAACGCCTCTTAAATGTACAGTACTTATTGTAGATAACATTTATTCACAGGTTGAGTCATTAACATTTATTTATTCCCATTATCAGCAATTTGTATGTAATAAAACCCACATCACTTTTACATTTTAACGAGGTCTTTAAAGAAATGCAATTATAAAAGGGTTGGTTGAAAACATTAACCCAATATGGAGAATGCGTCAACAAAAAATGTAAAAAAATGTAGTCTAGTCCAGCAGGCATCGATGCGCTGGCATATAAACTTTACCCGGACATAATTGATACTTGTTTTTGAGGATTTAGACAACACGCAGACCCCTCATATTACACTTCCTGCCGTTTCACTCACATATTTGCCTGCGGAACCCGGAGAAAGCAGCAACTCCTTTCCGGATGGAATTCCGCTATAAAAATCTGGCCTTTATGTCTTTTCAGCTGCCTGTAGGTTGGAGGTGGGCCTCACACCTTAAAGTATAAATAAACCAGTATTAACAATAGGTAAATCCTTAAAACCTTGTGGATTCTTTCTTTCGCCGGCATTCTTACCGATTCAAGGAGCGCTTTATCTCGATTTGTGTATGACTGGTGATCGCTTTTGCTGTGCTTAGCCTCTTGGGCCAAAACCACACAGTTGTTTGGTGTAGATGATTGTTTTTTGCTAAAAACTAAAATGAATTTAATTTTTTCAGCAGCAAAACAAATTGCGTGGCAGTGTGACCGTAGCTTCAATAAATACCTTATGGCTAGCATTAATATACCAATATTGCACAGCTGAAAATTCAGCTGTTAATTAAAAATGTTGCCTAAAAAAAATAAACCATTCAAATCACGTTCAGTTTTCTTTATTTTTACACCAGTTACGGCTATACCAATAAACAATTATCCAAGCATATAGGCACCCATTTAATAGGCGTCAACGCGAGGACTTTCCGCAAAGAACTCCTCGCCCTTGCGCTCTCCCATGAGCCACTGCTTGTAGCGCTCGTTTCGCATGGCCTGAAAGACGCATTTTAAAAATATTGAACTCATCGTTGACATGTAGCTGGGGGGAACCTACGTGGAAACGCATCAGTTGCTTCTGCATGCCTACGCACTCCTGGAAGTCGGAGATCAGGTCGGCGCACTCCCGCTTTCCACGCTCCAATCCGTACGCCTCGAAGCACTCCATCATCTTCATCTCGAACTTGCCGCATTTGTCGTAGGTCTGGTGGTTGATTAGGCAGCCAGTCAGGTCCGTTAAGGGAAGGCGTAAAAATGGAGTCAGCGACATATTGACTGCAGAACATAAAACAATTGAAATTAAGTACATGAATGCACAAAGTTCCTCTATGACGTAACAATAAACAAAGGCTCCCCATTAACAAACGAGATCTAAGTATCACTCTTTCAATTTTTATAGCCCTCTGGGTATTCCCATTCACGTTTTGTACTTATTAGCTCACTTGCACACCTTATATTGCTGGGAGTTCGCAATGAAAACAATAATTTTGTATTTTTATCTGCGGCTTCAGACCAGTGTTAGTCAACTACTCGACTGCAGACAGCTGGCGACTGACAGTGTTGGGTAGCGCGCAAATTGCTCCACGTTTGGGTTATAAATTTAATTTGGTTTTGATAAAAAACTAAACCCATGAAAAACCAGGATTTGGTGGACTACTTGAGGTCCTGCGGCGTGTGCGAGATCTGCCAGTTGCGTTACCTGAAGGCCAGGGGCTCGGAGTACAAGGATGTAAAGGAAACCCTGCGAAAGGTGGGAGATTTGTTTAATTTGTTGACAATTAAAGAACGGCTTGTTTCTTTTTCTAAATGGCCAGTTGGATGTAAGAGTGAATGAAATTGTGGAGAATGGGGAGGCTGCCATATCCCCCGACGATCGACCTGCCAAGAAAGCCCGCCTAGGCGTTTGTCCTACGTGCTTGGGTTTGTTCTCAGAGGACTTTCAGATGGAGCTCCTCGGGGGCATTTTGGCTTCGGACTTTGCCAAATACGATTGCCAGAAAATAGTTTTGGCCATTTGTTTGCCCATGTCCCTGCAGCTGAAACAGTTGGCCATGTGGTTTGCATTGCAGAGAAAGTTTGGAGCAGATGTGGACGGTAGTAATCCCCCAGACGTGCCCATAAAAGAGGCTGTCAAACTCATCCTACACCCCATAATCTGTGAGAAGTTGGGCAAGGAGTACGATGCCAACGGACTGATGATAAATATAGACCTCACCCACAAACTGGAAGACGAGGAGGTGGAGAAACTGGTGAAATTAAACAGGGAGGCCTTTCCCGCTAAGGCTGCGTATCAGAAACGCGTTGAAATTTCGAGGGGTTTACTGGAGAAGCAGTATCAACCCTCCAAAGTAAAGGCGGAAACCTTTGAGAAGTACTTCCAGATACCTTGCTCGAACGTAGAGGAACCTGTGAGGCTTACGTCCATAAACCTGCAAGGGCCCTTGATCTGTGTGGCTGGCAGATATCGAAAGTTGAGCAGGGAACTCTCGCACACTCCGTGGATTATGAATGGCCAACGACTTATGGAGGACAGTATTGAGGAAATAATCATCAGACATGTGGGTCCCCATTTCGCAGATAAGCTGGACAAGATCACCTTTATGTCGAGTGGCAGGGAAGATGTTGATGTCCGTTGTCTCGGAAAGGGCAGACCCTTTGTTTTGGAAATACCAAATGCCCTAAACAGTTCTTTAAGTAAAGAGCAAGCTTACAAGATGGAACAGGCCGTGGATGCATCTGGAAAAGTGTCCATACTGAATCTACAGGTTGTGGCCAGAGAAGATTTAACCCAAATTAAGACTGGAGAAGAACAGAAAAGGAAATTCTATCGCGCTCTTTGCGCTTTGAATGAACCTGTTTCTGTAGAGGTCCTGAAAAAACTGCAAATTCCACAAAGCTTTGAAATCCAGCAAAAGACTCCTATAAGAGTCCTTCATCGTCGTCCTTTACACACGCGTCCTAGAACGATATACAGTGTGAAAGCAAAAATACAGCGCGGAAATTCTAGAGCTCTGGTCATCGACATTGTCACTCAAGCGGGCACTTACATAAAGGAGCTGGTTCATGGCGAATTTGGACGGACCACGCCATCATTGTCCTCGATTGTAGGCAAACCCATCGATATACAAGCGCTGGATGTAGTAGGAATCGATTTGGAATGGCCACCAGAGGTGGACAACTCATTACATACAGAGGAGGCTCATCAAAACAAAAGGTAAAAATATCCTCAGCGACTGATTTGTTATGGTTAAATTGTCATCTTCCTGAAAGTCTACAATCCAGAATTTAAAATCGCAACCATCAGTGCAGAATAAACCCACAAAGTTATATAAGTGTTTTACTTGCTGATAGGGATATAATGGATCAAATTTAACTTTGGGTAACCTTTCTCCAAGCGATCCCAAAACTAAAAAATTAAAAAATATAACAATAAAGGACAAAAGCCTTGGCAAACCAAAAATAAATTTCGGATTTTTAATATGGCTTTTGATTTTTATAAAATGAAAACAGTATTTTATAAAATTTATGGTTACAAATAGCGTGGAAACTGAGAGACAAGTATGCTTAGATCAAAAGTATATATATGCCACTTATTGGTAACTAAGAAATGGTGAAGAGGAAAATGCTTCAAAGGGAAAGAATTTAATCGCAACTTAAAGCTGGGTTTAGATCCCTAAAATCAAGCAACAGCTTCTGATTGGCAACGGAGTAAGAGCGCGAACCGAAGGACAAAGCTGACATGCGCAGTGGATGCTTTTTTGGGGCGAATTGGTAACACGCTCACAACAGCCAAATTGGCTACAAAAGGACTTGTCCAGCGGTCGAATTCGGCATTCGTTGCTAGCGAGTTGCACTGTTTTGTTATGGTTAGGCCAAGTGAGCAAAAAATCGAATAAAATGGAACAAGTTCGAAATTAGTGCCAGGACATTTCCTACCTACCGGATGCAAGCGTGCGTGACAATTAAAAATTAAAGCCGAGGAATTTAGTTAGACAATTGCAGTGCGAGGCGGGGACGAGGACCGGAATGTTCTTTCGGCGCACTTTAGAACGCAAGGACAGCGCTCCCAATGTACCGCTTTCCTTGACGACCACAGCAAGTCCGCAACTGCACTACAATAGCGAGGACAGCGAGAGTGTCACTTACGTGAGTGGTGCCGCCGACGGTGAAATCAAGGACAGCAATAACAACCAGTCGGTGGGTAATGTGGGTGGTGCCCTGGTCGCTCCAATGAAAATCGGTGCAGTGCAGCTGACACCGCTGTGGGAGCATATTCTCCGCACCCGCCGACTTCCGGAAACAATTTGCCTCAGCGCCATGTACGCCGAGTTCCATGAGCGCCTGCAGGACCCAGAGTGGCAGGTTCGCCAACACGCCCTGCGAGTCCTTGTCGACGTCCTGGTGGTGATGCAAGACGAGGCCGATGACCACATGCAGCGGCAGCAGCTCATCAGCCTGCTGGTCGAGAACCTGGGCCATCAAGCGCCCACTGTGCGCAAGGGAGCCCTCGACTGCCTGCGGGTCTACTTGGCTGAGACCGCCGTTCCGGAGACGGTCATGCTGGGGATCCTTGATGCCGGACTGACGAAGCAGCAGGCTCAGGCGAAGTCGGAGCACATGGGTCGTCTCAGCGTCGGGGTCTTGCTGTCTCTGCCGGCACTCTTACAGACAACTCTGACAACTCAGCACACTTCCCAGCGACACCGCATCACACAGAACACCTTGGAGCGGGTGGTGCAGCACATGGACCAACTGGCTAAGCAGGAAATCACTCTGAAGGTCTTAACAAAGATCAGAGAGCTCGTAGGGGTCCACCAGTTCGAAGACATTATGAGTGATTTGGGCTGCTTGACCGAGTACTATCAACTTTGTCAGGTATACGGGGTGTCTGAAAAACCAAAAAAGGGCGGCGAGACTAAAACGGGCGCCTGGCGGGCATTACCACGTGACCAAGGCTGGAGAAACAGCGGCTCCAACGACATCCAGAGCAAGGAGCAGTCAGCCTGTCCAGAAAAGGGAAAGGTCATCATGGAAACGGAGATCAAGATCAACGACGACACTGTGACCATGCGCATCCTCGAAGCGGACACCGAGACAGAAGAGTCCGACAGCCCGGCCAGTAGATACTCAAAGGAAGGAGAGTCGGCGGATCTGGTTTGCCACCCCATTTTGTCTAGTTCCAACAGCCACCATGGGCATGCCGTTGGGACGGGCATTGTCCGGGTCATAAGTGATTCGGAACTGGATGAGCCGCATGCCACTAAGCCTAGGAGCCTTTCCGAGCCGAGCACTCCCTCGCGAGGTCTGAAGCGGGTAACCTTCGGTGGGGAGATTGTCAAGATGCGAACCCCTGATAGCGACGCAGCCCCTTCTGCAAACAACACCCAAGGCCCTGCTCAGGCCAATCCGAGTGCCTCTATTCTGGTCTTGGAAGATGCATCGCCCTCTCCCCTGAATTCGCCAGTGGAGGAGACGCAAGTCCCAAAAACCACAATACCACAACCTCCCAGCGACAAGAGAACAACGGCACTCGTGCTGGAGATTCCACTGGACAATACCAAGCCCTTGCCCCAGGCACGACTCTTCAGCGCGCAGTCGCCACGGCGTCAGCCCTCGGACAGTCCACGCAAGCGAAAGGAGGCGGACGGATCATCACCCCGCTCTCCCGGCCTTCGCAGCCGCAGCACCAGTCCGACTGGGAGCAACAACATCAGCCCCAAATCCGCCATTCCGCACAAGCAAATCGAGGTTCTGCACAATCTGCAGCGCGATCCGTCGCCGCGGTCCCAGCGCCTCTCGGAGGACAATGGTGTGGTTGGGGATGAGTTGAGCCATCCTGCGACCGGAAATGCCCCTGCCAGAGCTGCCTCTACGATGTCTGCAGAGTCGCCGACCACGCCCAAATCCTGGGAGGATCTGGACATTGTCAACTTCAAGACGCTGATGGACTTGCGATCTGGGGTAAGTTTCTGAAGCACGGGTAGCAGCCATGTCGCCATAATTGCAACGAAATTAGTGACCAACATTTAGCAATCCCCGTGTAATTGCACTCCTCCACCCAAACTCCAGCATGGGCTACTTTGTGTGACCGAAAATAAAGCAAGGAAATTACTCAGCACGCTACCCCAACGCTGCTTTCGAATCGCCGGCGCTTTGGGCTCTAACTGGGTCACTAGGATATGTACAATTTCATATGCGTTCATAATTCTGCCTTCATAATGGCAGCCGCCCGGCTTTCCTGCGGACGAGACACGCATCACTCCACCCTCAGCCGGTGTTGCCATTACAGTTGCTATTATATCGCCAGCGACCCTTGCTGTTGCTTACTAATAAAAATTTCAGCGATAAGCGACCCCCAACTCCCGTCCTGCACAATTCAACACAATGGAAAGTCGACTGCTGCCAAGCCACTGTACCAATGACCTATTAATTTTTTGACGTATATACGTACATATATCGTTCAAATAAAAGTAGTTGGAAATATTTGTAAACGTCGAACGAGTAGCAAAAGTCTTTCGAGAAGTAATAGCTATTACTGTGAAAACGGGTTTGTTTTTTTAGAAACTAACTCATAGCAGAGCTTATATTTGAATAGCAACAATTAAAAACAAAAAACATAATAATGGAAGAATTTTGCTAATTATCTGACCATAGCCGTAAAAGGACTCAGATTGGCACTTTCTGGTTCGGATGTGCCTGTTATCAGGACCAACTTTCTCAGAGGTGCACAAAAAACTTATGGATTCCGGTAGCAGTTGCATGTTGTCCGGACTGCAAGTTGTATTGAATTGTTTTGTTGGGGAGCTGCAGCCGAGGGCCAAAGAGTTCTCCGTTAGTTGGCCGGTCAATCATTTAAGTGCACGCGATTTTCATGGCGCAAAACAAGAGCAAGACCAATAACTCACGCCCAGCTTGCAACTCGTATGCGACGATAAATGAAAAGACCACCATTAAGGAGCGATGTTTGATGAAGACTCAGGACGAAAAGAAGGGAATCAGGGGTCTGAGGTCAGGGCGCAGAGCGTGTCAGGAACTGGGTCAGACCGGGCACAAAAATATAAATAACATTAACCGAAATTATAGTACGTGCTAAATAAAAGCAGATAGGAACGCCATTGTGGACTAGCTTCTCGGTATTTCGCTTTAAATTTTAACATTAATGTCTTTTATTTTACAAAAGAGTCCTTCAGTCCTTAGTTAGCCTCTCAATAACAGACAAAAAGGACAAAACGTATTACATGGTCAGTTGTTTTATTAATAAAAAAAAATAAAAATCTTACGATTTTAATTTGATTAATATTGAGATTTTCATGACTAGCTTGACAAGACTCTAGATCCCAAGTAAGTCGAGTGATATTATGACACATTTGGTAGTACTACCCTACTACACATAAAAATAATTTCTGGACATGCAGACATTTTCGAATTTGCTAAATTAGCTCAAATAGGACATAAAACTCGAGCCACGCCAAAAGGTACTTACCTGTTATTCACCTTTTTTGCACGTTCTTCAGGACTGGCGCAATCGTTTGATGGGCATCGCCCAACTGGAGCACGCCCTAAGCTCGTCGAGCAATTTGGCCTTGGTGCAGCCATATCTGGACAGTCTGCTGCGAACCCTCCTCTCCTCGGAACGGCACTTTGAGGTGGCCGAGCTAAAGCGGGAGTTGTTGGTAAACCTGATCTCACGTCTGCCTTTGGACAACTTGGAGGAGCGCACACCACAGATCCTGACGGGACTTTGTCGCCAGGGCAACGCTGGGGCGAACCGAGTGTGCAAGGCTTTGATGCAGCGCCTTCCGGCTGGAACCATTGTGGCGAAATCGACTTCACCAGAGTTCCTGCACGCAAAGAGTTCAAAGGTAACTGTTTCCACATAAGAAAATAAAAATAAAATGTATATCCACTCACCGCAGTTCCGGGACCATGCGCTTCAAATGTCCATTTTTGCCTTGATGAGTTTTCCGGGCACCTGCTTTGACATAAATCTCCTGACGGCTCAGGCCGTCTACTCTCTGCTAAATCGCAATCGTCGCGTGCGCCAGGCTGCTCTGGAGGTGCTTGCAGTCCTGGCAGATATTTCATCGATTCAGGAGGTCCTTACCATCGTCTCAGAAATGACGGTCGGCGTAGAGCCTGGACCACTGATACTGGAGGCGGCAAGTGTGCGCCTCTCGCGCCTGCAGCTGCCCATTGTGACGCCCGACAGTGGCGTGCTCTTCGTTTTCAACCAAACTGATCCTCCCGGAGCCAGGCCTTCTGGAGCGGATGTGGATTGGATCTGTCAGGGAGAGGGCTCCGCCTCGCCCAACTCCGTCAAGAGAAGACGCATGCGGGCTGCATGCAGTCAGCGCGACGTCCCCGAGAGCACGAAAGCAAAAAACAAGAAAGATGCGTTCCACAGGTAGGAAGTAAAGTCAATTATTCCCTAAAAGGTATTTATAACCAGAAAAAGATAATACAGAAATAATATGTTCAACAAAGGTCAATTAAAAGAGAAACTCATGTCCCATTATAAGTAACAATTGAAGTTCGAAAAATATAATTAAGAAAAAGCCAAACGAACGGGCAGACAGATATCGCTAGATCGACTCTCTTAGTGATGCTGATCAAGAATATATATACTCTATATAGGCTCAGAGATGACTCCTTCACTGAGCTGCAAATTTCTGACCCTCTGCAATGGTATATAAAGATGATACACAAATAATTTGTAAAACATTTGGCCAGTTTACATGAAAGTCAACTTAAAAGATAGTTTTGTCCCCTTATGTTTTACAATGTTTAAAAATAAAATTTTAGTAAAATGTCTTTAAACAAAAAATATATGAGTATATCTAAAAAAAATTAAATTGAAGCATTTCATATAAATACTACACATTAAATAAAATGGAGCTCTAAAAATATGTATCCTCAGTTTCAAACAGGTCAACGAAGCCCTGCATCGACATTCGTTCCACTCACCCCCAGAAACTTTAGACATGACTAGCCCCACAAATGTGAGTTTAATGCTGATTATGAATTACTAACTCTAAACATATTCCTCACCCTAGGACTTATCGCAAAGACTAAGTTTTGGCGCTAGGACCAATGGTAAGATACCTTAAAGTCGATTTCACTTTGTTCTGCATCATAACACTGTTTCTTCAGTAGGAAATCACACTTTAACCGACAGACGCCTGGTGGCCAAGGCGTGCTCTGATACATCGATGGATGGACGAAGTACAGATAGCACGACCACCACCTGCAGCAGTGGAAGCACCACGGGCAGCTTTATTCAGCTTACCTCCCGCACTGGAAGTCAATTTTCCGTAGCGAACTCTCGGTCCTTAGTCAAAAAACTGCATTAAAATTGCCTTTTAATAATAACACACCTTTTAATTCCCCACAGATTTCCCGCCATGCACCAGCATACAGACATCGTCAACAACTTTTTGCGAAGCAAGCAGCGCAGCACTAACTCCTTCTGCATGAAGGGACCGGCCTACCCGAAGGTCAGCTATTCTATGCCAAAGGTTCAGCAAATGTCTCGCAAGAAACTCCAGCACCAGCACTCCTTCACACAGTTGGACAACGCAGGGCCAGCCCAAGGCAAGTGTCTCATTTGTGGCCGTTCTGCCACTTTTACATTAACACGCTTGGTTTTATTTGTATCCAGGGTGCGAAAAAAACAAGTCAAACGAATCCCAGGTGAGGCAGAAGAGTGGCTTTTCAACAGACCATCTGCAATCGCTGGACACCAAGTGCGCTGACGCTGCCAAATCAGTGTAAGTGTCGACTCAATACCACAACTAGGGAACCGGCATCAGTACCCATTCAGTCGCTTACCCCTGCCCGCTGACGAAAGTTAACCTACATTTTTAAACACACACGCTCTGCTATACTCGACCACTGGTTGGGGTAAATGGTGGAGGGGGAGTTATAGCGAATTTAGTTGGCGGCCCGGCCGGCACACGCACCCCCTCACAAAACTACGGTCTTAAAGGTGTTAGGTAACCTAAATAATTCAAATGCGCAGTGGAAAAGGCTTTGATGAATTTTAAGAATATGGCGGGGGACATCGGTCAACGTCATCAACGACAAACCTTCAAGTGACCACAGACGATTTCGGACCGAATCAATATTCGTAAGCTTATTTTACAGCTAAGCACTGACAAAAATTGAAGGGTCAAGAAATTTATTTTACTATGCGTATAAGGTTATGCTTAAAGTTTCCTTTAAGTAAGCAAGGATTGTTAAGCACAACTATAAAACTTGTTTAGTTAAGAAACTTAAGAAAATGTAAAATCTTAGGCTTTCAATACATACCTTTAAAGTAGTCTTGGGGACATGGAAACTTGTTGGGTTACCCACTTCGGGACTTTCCGCAAACGAAACGAAGGCGCCCGAAGGTGACTAAGAGGTCCTGGTCTACGAACTGGAACGACTGAAGCCAAATGCCACTACTGCGCGAAGACCAGTGACCAGTTGGTTTGGAAGTTCGCTGCTGGTTAGCCCTAGACCATCCCACGACCTTTCATAGCCCTAACTTGGCACCCTGTGGGTGGGTGGGGGCCTTAACCAGTTGGTGTCCGTTCGTGTGATTGCTTGGAAAACGCAATGTCCTGTTTTTCGTTTGCAACTTTGGCTTTGTTGTGGGTTCCCGGTATGGAAATTCATTCGAAATAGCCAAAACGATTGGCGACGGGCATTGCAAACAGTCGGCAAAGTCGCGTTGCTCCAAGTGGTCACCAATTGCGAGTTGGTCGGTCTACTATGCGTTGTGTTCAGTAGAAAAAATTGGATTTCTGTCCGATTGGGATAGCGGAGAAAAATGCAGAATGCGTTATCATGTGGAGCGCAGGCATCTGATCTGCTGCGTAGGACTCGTTCCCTTCTCCACTCGGTCGGGGCCTGCATCTGCCACAGGGCCACGGGGGTACATGCCGCACTGCGGGGGGCTTTTAGTGGCCACAACTCGGTCTGCGGCACCTGCTGCACCGACAGGGCTCTGGAGTCCAGAAAATCGATGCAAATTGATACAGAAAGCCAGCTGGTCGATGATAATTCCACTTTCCACATATTTCGGCCACCGGCAGATACTGAAAAAGACAAATTTAATGCCGAATGTGGGGAGGAGTTGTAAGTCGCATGAACGTGTTTACATATACTTACTAACCTATCAACGTCTTCTTTGCCAACAGTGACAGGGAAACCGCGAGGGCAGTTCCGCCTTTGGTGCCAGAGGTCAAAGACACGACGGACGGCTCTCCCCTGTCGGTAAGGTCCACCAGCTATTCGCAAAAGTCGACAGCGTCGGCGAAATCGAGTGGTAGCCACGGCGAGATGTGCAAGCTAACATCCTCGTCGGCTGGCGACTGCATCATCGACGCCAAGATGAGGGTGCTGAGCCTGGAAAAGGATCCCGTCGAGGCCTTCGGGGAACTGGTGGTGGACGACATTGAAGAGGAGAAAACGGAACCCCCAGCCCATGATGAGCCTATCAAGCTCAACGGAAGCCTAAATAGCCTTCACAGCAAAACCGAGAGCATCAAAACGCAGTTGGAGGACACTACCCCGCAACTCTCGAGAGCCCAGTCAGTCAAATCGCTGCCCATAGAGGAGGACATTGAGGGCAGCAACAGTTTTGTGGTAGTCGAAGAACAACAGCACGAGCTTGAGTCATTACCCCCTAGTGCTGAGACCATGCCGGAAAAGCAGCAGCGGGAGGAACTAGTAGAACCAGCGGAAGTCTCAAACAAGGGACTAAAGTCGGTTCAACGGAATGAAGAAATGGTGATCCACTCACGTAGCATTTCGCTAGACTCGCTCTACGGGGCACGGCCGGGATCAAAGCAGGGATCCTTGGACACCTGCACAAGCACCACGGACAACACCTCGCAGTCCGGCTCCCAGATGGGAAACATCGGCGTCCCTGGAAAGGCTCAGCACACTCCGCTCCAGCAGAAGTCGAAGACATCGTACTTCTTGCGGGCACAGCGACGAGTCTCGCCCGTAAAGCAGGCTATAAAAATGTCCCAGGCGGAACTTTTTCCGCAGAATATGGCCCGCTTTGATAAGCCACGCGAGGCTCTGCTCAAGACTTTTGACCAGCTTGACTCTAGCAATTGGGAGACTAACATGACCGGCTTGAAGAACATGGTGCGCCTCATTCGCTATCATGCCGACACACTGGACAATCAGATGCACATGACCTGCATCCAGCTGACCCGCTCAGTCCGAAACCTTCGCTCCCAAGTGGCTCGCGCTTCATGCCAGGCCGCTGCCGAGTTGTTCTCCCTGAAGTCCAACAGTCTCCAGCTGGAGTGCGACGACTTGGTGTGTGCCCTCCTGCACCGCACCGCCGACACTAACCGCTTTCTCCGCGCCGACGCCACTCGTGCCCTGGAGTCGATGGTGGACAACGCACAGCCTCAGAAGATACTAAACATCCTGGCGACAAAGGGAGCACAACACCAGAACGCCCTGGTGCGCACCACATCGGCAAAGCTGCTCTTCAGACTTGTCGAGCGGCTGGGAAGTGATCGTATCTACGCAATGGGTCGGGAGAGCCGGGACAAGTTCTTTGTGGTGGGGGCCAATCTGCTGCTGGAGGGCAGCCTGGAGACCCGCAGCTATGCCAAGTCCTTATTCCGAGCCCTCTCCGAGCACCACAATTACCAGCGATTGCTGCTGGAGGTGATACCACCGCGCACGTACAGGAAGGTTGAGAAGACGCTGAGGAACATCACACACTGATTTCGCTTGCTCGACGACATCTGTACAGCTAACATTAAAATATATTAAAAATACAACCATATCTCGATTGTATGTAATCTTAAGTTAACCGTAAGGACTAATAAAAACATTGTTATGTCTCAAATCGATCGACCTTTGGCTACTCCCTGAATACTATTGTTCCCGTATGGATTGCGTTTGAGGCAATTTGGTTTTTGTTGAATTAGTAAGTAGGGAGCACGATCGAACATTAACCTGCTATTAAGATGGGATTGATTTAACTGCGCTAGGAAATATGGAAGTTTTTTACCTTCTTTACTCCTAGTCTTATGTGCCGATAGCCACTAGGAGGTGGGCGGTGTCTTAGACATTGCGTGTACAAGAATTTTTGGATTCTTTTGTGATCTTAACGTACTCCTACGATATATTTAAAGGCTAGTTAAAAGCATTTTCAAAAATCAAAGTAATCGGCGTTTGTTGTTGTGTCGTTGGTCCGACCTTCTGCTCCCGCCCTGCATGTGCTGGTGGTGCTGCTGTGGCTGCATCCTCGGCCGGCTGCGTTCCATTACGGAACTGTCGCTGCGTCGCCGCTGGTCCCCGTTGTTCCCAAACGGATTCCGGTCGTAGGGCCTTGCGCCATGCAAACTGTGCCGGGAGTGGTGCGGGGGCGACGCTTGAGATGGAGACTCCAGCATAAACGGGTTGCGTAGGCGACTATGGTTGAACGATGGCGATTGCCTGGCTTTGTCGGCTCCCTGCTGCTTGATGGTCAATTTCTTGTTGAACAACTCCAAGCCCTGGTAGAGGTCCAAGGCAAAGGGCACGGCGCACAGACGCTGGTAGGTAACAAACCCAAAATTTCTTTGCCGCCCCGTGTTGTCCGTGGGTATCCGCACAAACTCGATGGGACCGGCTTGCAGGAAGACCTCGTAAAGGATCTCCTCTGTGACGCGCTCGTCGAGATTGCCGCAGAAAAGCGTCCGCTGCTCCTCATCTTCCTCCTCGTCTTCGTCCGCCTGTTCGTCCACAACCTGGTCGACGCTGCTTCCGTTGAGGGGAAACGGACAAAAAGGCTGCTGTTGTCCTGGGGCTATGCCGTATCCGTAGCCATTCAGGTGCGGGGGCGGCATCATCATCGGCATGGCCGCCGTACCGCTGTACATTTGCTGCATTAACACCTGCAAGTCCATTTTTCTTCACAAATAAATAAGTCCCCCAATTTGCTTGTTTTGCAGTTAGAGATGGGCAATAGTAGAGGGGGGTAAACGTCGATGCCAATATCGATGTCATCGATGTTTTCTAAACATCGGTTTCATCGATGTTTTCAAAATATCGGTTTCATCGATGTTTGCCCATCTCTTGGCAATAGTCACGATAGAATTACAGTGTTGCGAAACGTTTAATTGAGCTGGTAAAGGTGAGTTTCTGATTCCGGAGAACTGGTTCCGAGTGGTGAGTAAGAAGACTTTAAACTTTCGCGCAAGTCAAAACTATTAGAGCAATGAGGTGAAAATAAAATTGTCTTTGCGGTGCATTAGTATCGCTGATAACAAAGACATTTTAATTAGACGTCCCGCCTGCTGATGTTTCCGATTGTTGTCGTCGCCATCGGTACCGCTTCTGATTGTAGTACTAGCTTTGCACAATTCATCTCGCATCCCCTTGACTATATGAATCAAGCCACTACAACTATTTAGTTTGGGGGCACTGGTTGCGAGTAGACACACAACGTCACAAAAACAATTGAGAGCCGCGAAATTCCAAGTTCACAAATGCAATTTACCCAGTACCTAGATAAATACAGATTTACGAAAATTATAAACTTATTAGACCGTTAGAGCTAAAAAGGAATTTCCCAAAGGTTAAAGCCTTCAATCACTACTCAATATTTTATTATTTTTATATATAAAAACAAAAAAAAAACAATTATATTTCGAATTGGCACCTAGCAGATTGAATTAAAGCGATTTTGTATCTAATTATTTTCGCTACAAAGAATAATCTTTTAACTTTTAAGAGTTCGATCCGAAGAGGAAATCGTTTTATATAATGGATACGGCTTCCTAAAGAGAAGAGAAATCCATCAAGTAGAGTGAGTACTGAGTACGTTCCACGAGCGTTATCAACGCCACTTGAGCCAATATTTCGCGTACAAATAAACTAGACTACCACATACGCCTGAACGCATACATATTTGTGGGTTTAATACCTTTAAAAGGTAGAAAAGCAAGTTCACCCAGAATCGCGGATTCATTCTGTCGCTTTTTGTGCGCGTAGCAGTATCACACCCGCTCCCGCAATGGGAGAAGTTCCAAAAGTCACAGACCTGCCACAGGTGATCGAGCCCCATCTTCCGGAGGGTTGTACCCTAGACTCGTATGTCAGCCGATACCTGACTAAGCCCGGAGATAACTACGGCAGCATTATGTTGGCCGTGCAGGCGAAAATTCGGAGCTCAGACGGAGCTATTCGGGACTTGCCACTGATAGCCAAGCTGCCACCCCTCACCAATGAACTTTACTGGCAGATTTTCCAGCCTGAGCGCACCTGCATCACGGAGAACGCGGTCTACCAGTACCTGTCAACCGAGCTGGACAAGCTGCAGCTCCAGGAGGGCATTCTTCCCGCACAACTCTTCGATGGCTTCCCGCGATACTACGGCTCCCGCATCTCGCTTGATTCCCGGGCTTCAAAAGTGGATCGGGATGCTATTCTCGTCCAGGAGAACGTTACGGTGCATGGCTTCCGGCCGGGAAATAGACACAGGCCGTACAATCTGGCTGAAACTGTACTCGTCCTGCACTACTTGGCCCAATACCACGCCCTACCCATCGCTCTGCGCCTGAAGAAGCCGCTGGTATACGAGGAATACGTACGACCCTTCTTCAAGAAGTTCGATATGAACACCAACATTAATCCGGCCGAGAAGGAACTGATGAATGATCAGATTCTGAAGGACATCAAGGCGGTGACCAGTGATGAGCGGGACGTTAACCGAGTCAAGGAGCTGCTGGATATTTTTGACGCATTCCAAGCCGGCAAGGATGTGGACGACGGTCCCTTCACCACCATTGTGCATGGAGATTTATGGATAAACAATATGATGTTGAAATACGGTAAGACAGATCAGTGTGCAGATCGGACCGGGTTATTAATGCTTTACAATTTGTATCAGACGAAAATGGCACTCCAGTCAAGGTTAAAATTGTTGACTTTCAAATCGCGCAGTACGGATCGTTGGTTCACGATATCATCTTTCTCCTATTCTCAAGTGTGGACGTAAATGTTTTGGAGGAGAACTACTACAATTTCCTTAATATTTACTACAACGCTTTCATTCAAGCCCTGCGCGGCGTCAATGTCGACACCAACAACTATTCCAAAGAGATGTAAGACTTGTTTTTCGATACTTTGGGATTTCTCAATATAACTTTGTCTAATGCAGATTTCTCAATGAGGTGCAAAAAGTGGCACACATACAGCTGCCTCATGCCATATTTATGATGAAGGTAATTTTGGCTGATAACAGCACGATTCCCGAGGACTTTAAAGACGTGGATTTCTCAGTGTTGTCCAAGAATACTGGAGTAAAGACTATTGTGACGAAGTTTGAGGCCATCTTGCGACTGGGAAAAAAGTTTAATATTTTTTACTAAGCCAATTTTGCTTAACTGCAAGCCACGGAAATAAATATTTGACCATAACAAGCCTCTTCACCTCTTTCACATATACTACCTACCTATCTACCTTATCAAGCAACTAATCAGCGCCGTGTTCGGTGCTCATTGAAACGTGTCGCGTTTGATTTTCCATAAGATTGTAGGCAAACATAACCGAAGCTTCCACAACCCGAACAACATGGGGGCGGACAAGTTGCCCGAAATTCGCGATCTTTCTAAGGTGGTTGAACAACAGTTATCAGGGGTTCGTCTCCTTAACTTTGAGATAAGCAGCCTTACGCAGCCAGGCGACAACTACGGAGGCACTCTCTTTTCGGTCAATGCGCAATTGCAGGGACCCGACGAAAAGCTGTTCGAGGAGCAACTGGTGGCCAAGGTGCCTCCGACAGATCCCAATTATTGGCAGTTTTTTCAGCCCGAGCGGACCTGCCTTACTGAGAACGCCGTCTACAAGATCTTGGCTCCTGCCCTGGCCATTCTCCAAGATGAAGCTGGCATCCCCAAAGAGGACCAATTCAAGGGATTTGCTCGGTATTACGGATCCCGCGAGTGCCTCGATTCCAACTCCTCTAAGGTAGATCAGAATGCAGTGCTGTTGCTGGAGAATTTGCGAAGCAGCGGCTACGTTCCAGGCCAGCGACTGCGACCCTACGACCTACCCCACACGATGTTAGCCCTTCGATATATGGCAGAGTTTCACGCCCTTCCGCTGGCAATGCGACTTCTCAAGCCCGTGTTGTTCCGGGAGCAGGTGCAACCCTTCTTTGAAAAGTTTGATTGGCATGCTGCTGCACCCGAGTCGAAAGCTTTAATGAAGAAAGAGACCCTCGAGGACATCCGACGAGCTACCAACAATGATTCCAAAACTGTGGCCCGTATAAAAGAATTATCGGACGAGTTTTTTGAGTTCTTGGCCGCCGCCCCAGACAGACCAGAAGGACCATTTTGCAGTATTATACACTGTGACTTCTGGATAAATAATCTAATGTTTCTTTACGGTAAGTATCGCAGTTTTACCCAGCTAAAAATTTATCTCATAAATTAAATCAAAAAATAACCTTTAGATTTCACAATCAATTCAATTTTCATTTAAAGATTTCAATAAAATGGTTTGTTTAGTTTACATAAGTGCGTAACTTTTAGTTTTAAGCAAAAGAAACAATCGTGTGGAAAGAAAAAAGGCCAAAGCCTTTCAGTTCGATGCAAAAACGCATAAAAACATCACGTGCTTATTAAAAAAAATCAATTCTGTTCTAATGTTTTTGCTTGACCAACCAAAATTAAAAACAATAATCAATTTGTTTCGAAATCTTTAGATGGGTCTGGAACACCCATCGACCTGAAAATCATCGACTTCCAGACTGCACAGTACGATTCCGTAGTGCATGACATAATCTCGTTCCTGTTATCAAGCGTTGATACGGCTATCTTGGAGATACACTTCGAACACATGTTAGAAGCCTACTACATGGCGTTCGTTAGTTGCTTGCGCCGTGTGGGAGCTGATTTGGCGATTCATACTTACGAAACGTAAGTAGAGGCAGCTATCTGAATACGGTTGAGTGCTGATTGGCTGATTGATCGCTGCTTTACAGGTTTCGAGCGGAGGTGAAGCGGGTGGCGTACATCCAAGTTCCCCACGCTATCTTCATGACGCGCTTCATTTTGGCGGACAGTGTGGAAAGCGAGAAAGCGGAAGCCCGAGAGCTTTCGAATGTGCTGAAGAGCCCGGGATCGGAACGCATAAGCCGGAAATTAAGCCAGATTTTAGACTTGGCCCAAAAGTTTGACATATTGTACTAGGGCAATAAACTGATTTATAATGGAAGCCTCTAATTTACTAATGGGATTTTAATGGAGGGACCTAATTGTTTTATTATTTTCCCAACTGAGTTCGGACATAGTAAGCGTTTAGTCTTGAGGAACATGCGGGCGTGGTGGACGGTATTGACCATCACGGCTTGGATGGTTCTGTTAGAGATAAGCGAGATAAAGAGCAAAGAGGTCTGTATTCATCATATATCCGAAAGAAAGACCTACTTTATTTAAATGATCCGGATAGAGCTGCTATTATGTGACGTTTACCTATGCTAATTGGACGGATGACAGACCTCGATTTGTGGTGAACATGACTTTCTCGAACCAAACTGGCATCGGCTCCGTCACCACCATTAACGAGGAGATAGCTTCACCTGTCTCTCGCATCCTGATCCTCCAGCACTCCGCCCGAGAGAAACCTCGCACCATCTATAACGCCTCCACCAAGCTTTGCGACCTCCAGAACGTCTTTAACTCGGTGCCGCTCTTCAAGCCGGCCAAGGACAACATGCTCAAGCAAAGTAACTTCACGCTGAGCTGTCCGCTGGTCAAAGGCACCTACGCAATGAACAACATGCGGGTTAGCCCGAAGAACCCCCTTTTGAGTCTTCTGTACCAACCCAAGCGCTCCTTCTCAGTGAAGGGCGGATTGTTCGAGGAGCCGCCGCGGGGAGGGCGGCTGAGACCGTTGTCCACCTATTTCATGGCAGGAAAGGTTGTGAAAAAGTCCTGTGGATCCAACGAATGAGTGGTAAAAATAAAGAAGCGCATCTAAAACTGTATTTTTCGGACAGCTTATTAGTATACCACAAAATGTTGACTTTCTAGTAAAGTATACCACACTTTTAAAATTCATTTGTATAAGCATAACGTTAAGAGGGCTGTTTATCACAAATGGATGATAATACGGCGTCGGACTCCCAATGGTTTGACCTTAGATTAGAGGGTCAAAGGATATCGTTTGAATAATGACTAAAAACAGTTTTTTGTTTTGATTACCGTGATTACTAAATTTCGATCGCAAATATATAAATCAGCTATTGCTTTAAGCATGATCTATAGTAGCAGATATTGATGCACTGGCATTTTAACTGGTATTGAATGTTTGACATTCGCCAAATATATTTTTATTTATTTAGTAATTAAATAAAGTTATATTCCTACATGGAAAAAAATGGTAAACGTAAAAAAAAACAAATGACAGAAAGGAAACTAAATTTATTGAGTTTAAAAAACTTTAAATTAAATATTCTTTTAAACAACAAAATTCCGTCTTTGAGGCGTATATTTATACCCTTACAGAGGGTATTAGAATTTCAATTAGAAGTTTGCAAAGCAATGAAAGAAACTTTTCCGACCCTATAAAGTATATTGTAATGAATACAATGACTTTAAGGCGGCTTTGGCATAGAAGTGCGTCCTCTTATAACTATGTCCTTAAATGCCTTGAAGTTTTCCAAACTAATTATAATCATTAACTAAAAAAAGGCTGGGCCAATATGGACAGACTGTCGCTGTCAGAGTTTTTATAGGTCTTCCCACAAAATTTCGGACTTGCTAATGAGCAACAAATCGAGTTAAGGCAGATGGACAACGGGTGAACGAACTCAATTTGGCTACACGTCCCCTACCAAACAAAGGAAGTAGCCTTGTAATGGTTCATGTACATATGAGAGGATATAATCTGTTCATTTAAATTGCGAGAATGCTATATAGAGAAAGCTGCAATGTACAGTCAAGCGAAATATCATTTAAGCGGGGTAAACAACTACCAGTAAATTTGCTCGCTTATCGAAAGGCCTCTTATCAACCGACTTGCACAAAAACAAAATCTTTGCCCTTTTGTTTACTCAACTCCGTAATCTCCTCCTACTCCCATCCATTCATATACATATGAATGTATGTATTCAAACTGAGCATAACTCATCGATCCTAATCTCATTTGTCAAATAAAAGCGGGTCACTTAACAGTTAGCATGAAAACATAATCGCTATTTTGTAAAATAAAACTAATTAATAATGATTTAAAATTAAAATAATGAGTCTGTGCAATAAGTATGAGTGTGTGCTACGGATGGCGACCTTTGGCTGAGTCTACGTCCGTCATCGGTTCGGCTGCGTCGATTATCTCAGGGGCCGGGGGACTGAACTTTGTCTGGTTCGATGCGCCAAAAAAGCCAAAGAACAAATCGCAGATCACTTGGTGGACGCGTGTGGGGCGATGACGCAAATATTGCGACTCGCGTGTGCTGGCAGACAGCGAAAGTAAACTGGGAGATGGCTAAATAAAACTAGAGAAAGAAATCGGGGCAATAAATTAGGTGTGGGAGACTCTTGGCCACTCTGGAAAGGTGGGGGAGAACACGCAGTGGCAACCTGCTCTCGGGTGATTCAGTTGGCCATGCCATCCTTCCTAAAGCTCTGCAGATTAAATATAGCCGCCCATCAAAACATTGAGAATGGCGTGCGCTGTGTGAAATTAGATAATTAGGCCAGATAAAAAACAGCACTTGTTGGCCTAATGTGTTGGCGAAAGACCCACGATATCGACACGCGCCATAGATAACAAGAAAGGAAGCCAACTTCGGCAAGCCGAAGATTAGATACCCAGCTATTACAAAATTTAAGTATTCTTTAAAACGCCTGTTTAATTTTTCCGCTTGTCCATTTTTAATCAAGTTAAAACCGTAAATGTGAAATAATAAACCATTACTCTATCTCGAAGTTTGTTCAAATTAGTTAAAAAGCAGCGAAGTTATATTTCTGTAATATAAAATATTATCTCAGTTTCAAACTGAGAGACTAGACAGACGACATGATGCTGATAAACAAAAAATATTCTTTATATGGTCGCAAATGTTTCCTCATTGCGAACTTTCGAATGAATTTATAATACACTCTGCAAAGTGTATGAGAATAACTTGCCTCAAGTAAACACCTTTTGTGTGCCGCCACAAAGCGTACGTGACCGATTAATTGCTGGACATCGGTCACAGGACTACGACTACCCTGTCGATATCTGATCGAGCCATCAATTATGAGTGCCCTGACCATAAGTAGCGCCATAAAGCGTAATCTCAACAAGCAGTTGGTTTGGTCCAATTGAAACAACACACATAAAAATAAACACTGCCCCCAGCAACGATTACTTCACCTGAAGCTCTATAAACAGGTTTGTTCTGTTTTGCCGCGTTTTATTCGCCTGTGACGTGTTCGCCTAGTATAGTAGCCGTAAATCCGGCGTTATCAGTGGGTTTTCACCCCTCCCCACCGCAAGGGCGTATGACCTACTTTTGACTTGTGAAATTTTAGTTCAGGAATCGATCGCTGGGGGAATTTCATCTTGGCCTCACTATAGACACTGCGACGGGGAATTGGGAGATCACGCTTTGCTGCCGTGTGCCTGCGCCCCATTCTTTGTGAATGTTTATATTTATTTGCTTAAACATGCAGGGGTGTATGTGAAATTATTCCCTCGCCTTTTGTGACACCGACACGTTAATAATATCAATATCAAGCATTTCCCTCTTGGCCGCGACGTATTTTGCCTTTATATTCCGCAGCAGGTATGATGTATGGCCTTAAGATATCGCTACCCAGCCAGGGCAAGTCTGCCAACCGAATTAAATGGCACGCTGGCAAAGATAATGGCAAACACTGGTCAAACTTTTGCAGCCGGAAGGCCGAATGTGTGAACTCACATTCTTATCAGCTAGCTCGGACTAGCTGAACACCGATCGTATAAACTTAGTATTCATATTTTGCTAATGTTTTATAAGCCGAAACTTAACCTTTTTTATCAGTGGGCTATATTGGTCACTTCATTATAATTTACACACCTAGTGAACACAATGTTAATATTAAATATTGTTAAGTTTAAATATTACAAATAACAGAGTTCCCTTATCGCTATACAATTGATTTAGCGATAAGATTGTGTACTTCTTTGAAAAATATCGTTTAAAGTTATAAAAGCTTTATCTTTATCAAGCCGCCTGGGCTTAGGCAGCATAACTGGATCTTTTCAGACCTGCAATGTAAGATGTTGACATCTTCGAACTAGTTTCATGCATACCAATGAACCTGCTTCAATTCATTAATGATCTGGTCTATGGGCGGCGGTGCGGAACTCTTAAGTTCTGCGGCCATAACAAGCTGGTGTATTGATTTTGATTATTTATGTGATTTTATAATATACTGTCTACCTTTTGAAATCACATACTGCAATGAAAACAGGTATATTAGGTATTCGGTTCAAAATTGGGCATATGAATGCTTTCCTATAAATGTGTTGCCTTCAGACAACGGGTAATACTTTGGCCCCCGATCTTACTGTTTGGGGCCAACAATCTGTGTGTATTCAACATTTAAAAAAAAACCGGACCGCATTATTTTTCCCCAGCTTTCAACCCTCTTACTGTTGCATGTCCCATAATCCGTAATCCGCGCACAACAGAGCCTCAGCAAACAAGCAGCGCAAACTGCACCTCAGAATGTCAACAACCACGAGCACGCCCATGCAAAAGTTCACTCACACAAAGCTAACACTCTTTTTTAAAAATTGACTACAAAATTTATGTTAAACAATGTATGTTTTTTAAATGCATTTTGAAACAAAAACAAAAAACATATATTTCTTCCACTTGTAAGTCTGGTAGATCGTTAAATGGGTGTTTTTGTAAGGTATAGGTATGGGGAAGGCAGATAAAATGAGTGAGAAACCACTCTTATGGCGATTAGACTCGCGGCGCTGGTCAATCAATATTTGATTGTAATGGGTTGGGAAGCATGTCACCAGCCGAGTGCAACTCCCCTGCTTATCAGTCAGTATTGTGCGGGAACATTCTCTCCTGCGTCGTCATTATATCTTACTTTATGGTCTATATAGACCATATGTAAGGGTCCGCACTATACACATTCTCCTCGCGAACCGCAAGTATTAATCTTGAAAACTTCCAATGTCAGGCAGCTGGCGATGTTGGAAAACTTTCCATTGAAAACAAGGTCTGCTTGGTGCCCCCGTGTCACACTTATTTACAAACAAGCTGTTCTATATTTTAAAATTTAGATTCTCACAACCATTGCAGCGAGACGCATTTGAAAGCTTGCCAAAAAGAGAAAATAAAATAGTCTTAAGTAATGTGTTTTGTTTTGTTTACAACTTTGCTTTTACTCGAACGTTTATTTGAATTGCATTGGAATTCTTAATTTTCAGGGTGCTTGAACTAGAGAGACATTTATAATGAAAGTACATATATATTGATGTAAAATGCTGGCAATGCTGAACAGTTGCGACAGATCTGACGTGCCATATAATTGTAGTTAACAACTTCTACTCAAAAAGCTAGATATAGTAACAATTAGTGTTTCATATGTACGTGCGTGAGGATATGAATGATTAATATAGATATCGTCAAATTTCAGTGATATTCTTTTTTTTTTAACGTTCCATTTGGAAGTATCAAGTAACAAGTCAGTTAAAAGCTTAAAATTTTAAAACTCTTATTGGACAGAATTTTTGCAAATTTAAATGATTTTTCTTTGTTATGATGTTTATTATTTAGATTAAATCAACGATAAGGTATACATAATTTGTAAAATATTTATGGCAGAATATTCTTGGGGCCCCCATCGGTCTCAGGTTTAATTTTTTCTTCGTTTTCTGTACTTCTTGCCTCCCACCCACATTCTTAAATGCTAATCGCACGCTACTCGTGCCTCGCCCTCCTGTCTTTTTTGAATAAGCAAACAAAATTTTGCTCCACTTGAACCGAAATGTAGCCAAATGATCGGTTACGCTTTAAAATTCAATAATATACTATGTACACAAGATTTTCCCTCCCCGACTGCCTACTCGTTAAGCAGACAGGTGCGGACGATGGCTCCACACACGGCGTAGGGATCGCAGTTGGAGCTGGGCCGCCGGTCCTCAAAGTATCCTTTGCCTGCCGTCGCCACGCCACGCGGCACCCTCACGCTCACCGCCCGGTTGGCCACGCCCCACGAGAACTTGTCGATGCTGGAAGTCTCGAGACGACCCACCAGGCGCCTCTCGTTGTCCTTGCCCTCCTTGGGGTCGTAGGCCTTGATGTGGCGCTCATGGTGCTTGCTCAGCTTCTCTATGGCCTCCTCGATGGCCTTGATTCCGCCTTCGGCGCGCATGGCCTTCGTGGAGAAGTTGGTGTGGGCACCGGCTCCGTTCCACTGGCCCTCCATTGGCTTGGGGTCGAAGGTCACCACCACGCCGTACTCCTCGGCGATGCGCTGCAGGATGTAGCGCGACACCCACAAATCGTCGCTGGCTTTAAGACCGCTGCTCGGACCCACTTGGTACTCCCACTGGGCGGGCATTACCTCTGCATTGGTGCCGGCGAAATCGATTCCGGCGTACAGGCAGGCCACGGCATGGGCCTCCACGAGGTCGCGGGCGTAGACGCGGTCGGCACCCACTCCACAGTAGTAGGGTCCTTGCGGGGCCGGGAAGCCGTTCTCTGGCCAGCCGAATGGACGTCCGTCCACGTCAAGCAGCGTGTACTCCTGCTCGATGCCGAACCAGGGCTCCTGCTCGCCGATCCGGTCGACTCCCGCCTGGAAGGCTGCGCGCTTGTTGGAGGCCGTGGGCTTGCCGTCGGCGCTGTAGGTGTCGCACAGGACGATCACGTCGTTCTTGCCGGGCTTGAAGGGGTCGCGGTAGATGGCGCGCGGCTTGAGAGTGGTGTCTGAGTTCTCGCCTTGGGCCTGGTAGGTGGAGCTCCCGTCGTACTGCCAGTCTGGCAGATCCTCCACGGCGCTCGGTACCTTGTCCAGGACTCGATCCTTCAAGCGGATGTTCTCACCGGTGCCGTCGATCCAGAGATAAGTGGCCTGCACCCTATTGGCGGGCGTTTCAAGGTTGCGATACCGCTGCAGGATGCTCTTGTCCAACGCCGTGTTGGGCGAGTTAGCCAGGAACTGGGAGCGGGCCGTGGTGGCGGTGCGCAGCAGACGCAGCTGCTGCGTGGCGGGAGCCACTAGCTCCTTCTTCAGGAAGAGTCCGGCCACGCGGAATGCCATGTTGGTCCTTGATGGGAGACGACGAGAAGGACAAAAGGACACGGTTAGTTCTGTATTGGTCGCGAGTTTAAGGTCGTGCGCAGCAGCAGCGCAAGGATGCTGGCACTTTTCGCACGTATTTTTATGTAATTATTTTCCTTGCACTTGCTTCTCTGAACGCAGAGTGGGTTGACTGGCAGTTCAATCACGGAGTTCCGTCCAACTTACCCTGCACTGCTCGTTTGTACACTTTACAGTTATGTGATTGCTAAGTAGTCGATAGCTGGGCAGGTCTTCTGTGTATTGTCTGATTGCGGGACTTTCGGTTTCTGTTTTTTCTGTTTTTGTCAGTGACTGCGTAGCCAGTGCTGAGGACACCCGACTAATACGAGGTTTGGAAGGCTTGTGAGCGCAGTTAGCGCGACAACATTCACTTTTTTTCGTTTCGATTCACTTCGTTTCGTGGCCCGCCTCGGGTTTTCTTTATCGCGTTGCGTTTGCCGCTCCGAGGCGGAGGCCTCCCAGAGAGTGTCCGTACCGAAACACACAACAGACAGCAGACAACGGAACGGAGTGGAACCCACAATAGTATACGGGCACCCAAGGGGGCATCTCTCGGAGAGAAAAGCGCGGCAGCCCAGAATGTTTCAAGGCTACGCGATTAGGCAAAATTCCGTGTTACTGGCCCCATGTAATACGTTCATTGATGCGTTACCGAACACATACTCACAACACAAACGCCCCAAGCAAAACAAAAGTATTTAAAAACACACATTATAAAACACCTGCGCGATAAGGTGCAATGCAAACGAAGATCTACGAAAGCCCAAATGTTGAGATCGCTTTTGTTAACTTTTATTTATTTTTTTTTTTTTTTTGGGGGGGGGGGACTTTAGAGAGTTCCAGAGTGTTGTATAGGACTGCTCAAAAAATTCACTTTAAATTTAACTTCTCAAAAAAAAAACTCTTGGGGAAAATACATATGTATATACCTAGTTGTTTAAAGAAAAAACTGTTTGCTTTTATGGCTTATATTGGCATTTCATAAATTTTAAATCATTTGGAATGAAGAAATTTAACTTTTTTCGTTTGCAAAATTGTTAAGTTTGAAAAGTACTCTGACTTTCTTCCTCTGCTGTTCCATGTTCCCCATAATAAAGCATTACAACAATATTGGACTCGTAAACAACTTGCAGTTGCAGGGGAGAGCATCCTGAAGGTGCATGCGCACACTCTCCATTAATGGTAATCTCTTTGCGGCAACAACCACCACAGCGCTCTCTGGCTGAATGTTTTGGATACACGACTGGTACAAAGTTCATTATGTACATTAAATAGCCGATGCAAACAAACGCGTATCAGCTGTTATTGGTAATTGTGTTTTTCATTTGACGAACTGTGCGGATGATGCACTATTGACCGCAATGAACCAATATTAATTGGTTTAGTTCAATGAAACAGGAAATTCCGGATCACCACTGACTTATTCATTCAGGCACCAGGCACATAGTTAGCCATGTTTTTAAGATAACTTCGTTTTACATTTATAGTACCTTAGTATTCAGAATAAATAATGAAAAATAAATTAGAATAAATATATATTTTATAGGGTCAACTCTACTAAAATTTAACGTTTTCGACGTATTTAATTGAGGGAGCCGGTTTAATGTATAGCCTGCTTTTAGGCATTATATATTAAGAAAATAATTGACATGTAGATGCGATGTAAATTTGAATAGTTATCCCATAAGTTAATTAAGGATTTAATTCTGGGAATTGACGTATATACAACCCACCCATACACATTGGAGGCCCCTAAGCTGCCGCAGTGCAACAATTGGCAAGTTCTCCGTCGAAGCAGAGTGGCGGAAAAACAAGCTTTCTGTTTTTGGCCGGCTGACATAACTTCGGCCGAGCTTCAGGTTGCCATTCCAAAGAAAACAAGGAAAATATAAACAAGTTGTATATGGGGACGAGCGAGTTTCCACCATAGCTGCGACTGCCTCACTCTTAGCCACTCGTACTTCGCTTTTCCAGTTGCGTGACACCGCTTCCACTGGATGGCCGGCTTCAGTTTTCTTTCGCAAAACACTAAGCAAGTTTTCCTCACAGCAGAGTGCATATTTAAATGCGGTGTGCCACGGACGAGTCCACAAAGTCGCCAATTGTTATATTTGGCTTGGTTTCGGACTTCCCCATTCGCATTACGGGTTGCCATTTGGCTTTTTTGCGAAGGCCACTTGTTGCTTCGGGCAGAAGTTTCGTAGGCTTCGGTGGGTCTTGAGACCACGGCATCATGAACAAGCACAGTTGGAAGCAGTTTTTGGAAAACAATAACCTGTAAGTGGTCGAGCCAGGCGGGGTTTTAAGCAAAATGCACTGAAATCATTTTCCACAACCAACAACGAGCAATAGTCATCCGGAAAAAATGCCGGTAAAAAAATCGGGAAACTGGAAACGCCTGTAGCACCCTTTTTGCTCTGGGCCAGCCACAGAAACTAGTCCCAGAAAAATCACGTAAATTGGGTTTGCACTGGAAAAATGTCTGTAACGGGAAACCAGTGAGCTTTTCACTTGAGTCACCCAATAAAACAAAAAAACGGTTTTACCGCACTTTATTTTCCTTATACTCTAAGTGGAATTGGTTTTACCCGATCAACTTGGGAAACATACAAACGGCTTGTTACTTGTTGTCAGACCAATCCGATTGTGTTTTGATAACACTTCTCATCCCATATTATGTGATTAAATTGCAATACAAAAATAATAGCTCGCGCATCAGACGACATTCGAGTTATTTATACCCAAAAAACAGTTGTTCGAGCCAAGTTCTAAGGACTTCCCACGCCTCAGAAAATAAAGTGCTACAAATGACCTCATGCCACATAAAAAGGAAGGAACTGGTGACATTCCTACGTCGCACAAGTTGCCCATTAAAAACGGTCATATTGTCAGGCTTGCTGTCTTTAACAGCAATGGCATTTCTTGCTGCTTCGGTTACTGCCAACCATTATTATTTAATTATTTTTCCGTAAAACATTTAATGGTACCAAAGTTCACCCCCTTTATCGACTCCTATCAGCTTTAGATTGGCACCCCTAGATAAGCCCCGACAACCACTAATGAGTCATGACCAGGTCATGAATTTGTAGTTAAAACTTGTAAATATCAGTAGCTCGTGCACCTAAGATTCCTGGGGTTCATTACATCCCGCCTGCGACTCAAAACCATGGGAACAGGATTTAAACACCATGTTATCAAAAGCTGATATGATTATCGAAGTGCAGGCTGGCTAAAAACATTGTCCACAAGGCTGGTGCGCTATCAGCAAATGGCATAATTAGCTACATATACTCAAAGATAAGAGGCCTATCACCAGTTCCCCAGAGATTCTTTCGAAGAATCCAGTGGCTCTTACGAGAGTGGCGCGCTATCCCAGAGAGCAGTCACGTTCTCTCCGCCGCTCGATAGTCTCTCTAGAATCCAAACCAGAACTGGCGCCTCTACTGCCATCCCACTCTGGCCAACGACATCACCCGGCAATGGGGCTGCGAGTGTGTATGCGATGGCACACTCAGCCAGCAGTCGCTTAAGTTTCTGGCTTTGTTCCACTGCCGCGCAATTGTTTAGTTCATTTGCGATCGCAGCGCGAGAGAGTCAAGTCCTAACATTCGAGAAGCGGGAGTTCCGTTTCGAGCAGACGGGTGGAAAATTTTTCTCACCGGGCCACACGGTGGTGGAATCGAGAACGTGAACGTGAACGCAAACGTAAAACCCTAACGGAAGCGAAGGGCAGCAGGGGCTACAGTATTGCCGTCAGTGCAAAGTTACAAAGAATACACACAACACAGCGCACAGTTCAGTGGTTGCATTTTGCTTTTTACCCCTACTGATTGACTGATTGACAAGATGACTAAAAACGATAATGCAAATCTGCTCAACGACAATAGGCTGGGCACCGCCGGAGCGGGTCAGCCAAAGGCCCAGATAGTGCCCGCCCAGCCGAAGACCCTGCAGCACCTGCCCAAGCGGCCGGCGGTGGACCTGGCCTTCCACAACCTGACGTACCGCGTCAAGGAAGGAAATCGGAGCAGTAAGTACCCACTATTTGGCAGAACCTCGCGTCGTTTTCGCTTTCTTTGTGCTGGGGTCCCGAGAACTGGGTTGTGCTCTCCCACATGTGCCATGGAGAACTCCATCTTCAGAGCGCATTGTTGCTATTACGAACTTCGCTAGCTTCAGCGGGTTTTACTTGTTCGCTTTAGCTGCGCTTCACGTCGTGCTGGTTTCTGGTTTCTTTGTTCTTCTGGCAGCAGTATCACGGTTGCCACACTGCGAGCGACTGGGAGAACTTTGGATTGTATCGCCTATTGTAACCCGTTGTCCCGTCGAAATCGTTTCCCAATTACACAAAGGCGGCTGGCGGACAAAGTTCACGGGTTCCACAGCGATAAGCCGCGCCAAATACATTTAAATCAACATCCAGTAGCCGCGAAGTAACTGCCCACACAAACTTTTTTCGCTAGTGAGACAGTCAACAAGTTGGTTCGATGCTATAGCATCTGGAATGCGAGCCATGTACTCGCACTTCTCTCTGTATTCACGTCTGTGTGTATCCACTTTGAAGCATGGGTGGAGCAGAGTGGGGGTCCGGCGCTGTTAATGAGCAAAACATTCTACGTTGTCGTGCCGGAGTGAGAGGTTTTTTCTAGTTTGAGTGCTTGTTTGCTGATGTCGGTTGTGCTTGTTGTGTTAGCAGAGCGATTAGGGTTTAGTCATAACCGGATAGCTATTTGTGGTGGGCTTCGGTTTGAGGGCTAAGCACTCCACTAACAGGCCGAGGAAATGCAGCGAACTGTATTCACGGGAGTGGCCCCTAGGGGCCATTTTGAATTTGGAATTACGGGACGGCGATAATATTCCCAATATTTGGGTATTCAAACGGATACAGCTGCTTTGTTCTCAGATATCCAACAATCAATAAAAAGCTCATACACATACCCACTCCCCTTGTGTTTGAATCGGACTGCTGGACTTGCCTTTAACGAAATTGAACAGAGGCAAGGACAGCCACTGTATAACGAGTCGGTGCATCCCGGCTGGAAATAAGATACTGTCAGAGCCTGTTTTTTGCTGCACAAGGCCGATGCGAACGACCCGTCCCGGCCAAGAGCAATAGTAATTCGAGGCGGCAGCAGCCTGAACTTCGCACAGCCGCAAATTGCCACAAGATTCAAAGGTCGGCCATCCGACTCAATTAAGTCGTTCAGAATATGCGAATATTCAGACGTATTTACACTGACCAATGAGTGTCGAAAGATTTGCAGATGGCACGATGCTCTCAGATACGTGCTAAGTTTGTGGGCTTATAATGTATACAAAATAAAACAGAAGTAGCTGTGAGGCAACCGCTGGAATTCAGTGT